GCCTGGCTGTTCCCCGAGTTTCATGGAACACGCCCGCCCTGCGCAGGTCAGAGGGGCTTCCAGCAAGGACCACGTGAGAAGGTCTGACTGCGGCGTCTCCGAGTTACTCTACCAGTGGGCAGTGAAGACAGCCCAACAGATCTGTCTTGCTGCTCCAATAATCCCCACTACTCTGGGCACAACAGGAGACCACCGAATTTCTGCAGGTGCCTTGCAAGCATTCAGATTAGGCAGTTCTCCTGCTGTTCCCGGCACTTATCACATGGAGAGAAGAGCAGATACCAGTGATAATTTACTGCAAAAACCCAAGTTGGAAGAGTTCACACTGGGCACACGGCGGCCCACCACACCATACCACCCCTACCCACCTGAACACAGCTCTCTAAACCCATCTGCCCCTCAGCTGCTTGTCATAGGCCCAATTCAGCTCATCTTACCTCTTCAGGTTTGCTTTCTTCTTCTTTACAGACAAGGCACTAAGATTTTTGGGGGCATCTCTTAGCCCAAAGCTCTTAGCCACGTGCCCGAGGTGGAGCAAGCGGACGTGGAAGATGTGCTTCAGCTCCCGGGGGTAGGTTGCATAGGCCCGGATGAAGGACTGCAGGGCTGAAAGACAGGTGAGGGGGAGGGAGGCCGTCAGGGTGGGGGCTCGGCTGCCCCAGCTGCCGCAGCCTCACGACTGTCCTGTGCAGTTCAGTCTGCCAGGCAGTGATGGACACACAACCAGCATAGCACAACAGACACGAACAACCTAAATCTACAGTTGTGTGGGTTTTTTCAAATTCCTCAAAAAAAAAAATCTACCAGCCACAATTAATTCACCCAATATAATTTCACTTGAATAAACCCAATATAATCGCAGATACTACTGTGTAGCTTGTAATGAAACAGAGGGCAGGGGACCTGTTCTCTTTGCCAGTAGAGCCGTGGGGCCCCGCACAGCACCTGGCACACAGAAGGCCGTGGACACACGTTTGTTGTGTAAATTAGTGGATGAGAGAATGAGTGAACAAACTAAGACAGGATCACTGTCTATCATTTTCTTATGAAAAACTAAATCATCAGACATTTTAACTAGGAAAAATTTTTCCTAATTATATTAAATTTTTTTGAATACTTAATACATGCAAAAGTTACAAAATTTGAAAGGCTTTCTTACGACTGGCATCTTATGTATTATTACTGTATACTCTTATTACTTCTAAATGCAGCCTTCACCCCAAGTCCCGCCGCCAGCTCCCCCATCCAAAGGAATCACGGAGACCAGCACTTCGTATACTCATGGGATTGTAACACCAAATTCTTTCTAAAGTATCCAGGACTGACCTACAGAGTGTTCCTTATCCATTCGAAGAATGTGTAGAAAACGAAATGAAAAGATAATTTTTAAAAGGAGGAAAAAATTGTTAAATTTCTAAAATAGCCCAACCAGTTCACCTGTTGATTGCCAGCAGTTTAGAGGTGTTCATCGGAAGGTCTAGCATGGAAATCTCAGTCCTATTGTAAAATCAAGAAAGAGGCCCCTGTTCTAGAGCCGGCACTGGCCAGAGAGGAGCCAGAGCTGGTACCCAGGAGGGTGGAGCTCCGGTTACACCTTGATGCAGCATCCCTTCGAGGAACGATTACTCAGTTCCCCTGAATATCTTGCAGTAACTGATCAAGCGTCGGCCCTTTTCTCGCTCCCACAGGGCGGGAGGGGACTGTTCTGAAGTCGCCCCTCCCCGTCCCCGCTGCCTGTACCCCCCGCTCTCCTGCCAGCCAGGGAGCCCAGCAGAGCTGCACTGCCTGATGGCAGCAGGCACTAAACACCAGCCTCTCTCGCCCTCGCCCGTTGAGCCACTGGACTGGCAAGTTTGCCCACAGCTTAAACGTAATATCCCAGCAGCACCTGGAGACTGGCGTTTATGAACAGTAATAAAAAGTGTCATTTTAGCAGATCAGCTCCTGGAAGGATCCTGGGAATCCATCAAAGCTCTATTTACTGAGCAAAGTGAACTCCTTTTCCCAATCGATGAGAAATAATAACCAAGGCAACTCCTCTGCACCCCTCTCAGATTTGTGCTCACCCCCTTTTCAATAACTGGGGACTAGGTTTTTCAAGGAAAACCTTTAACGCTTCAAATGGTCTGTGCTGCGGGGAGGGTTCTGCCACACGCTCAAGGCCTCAGAGGGGAAGTCGGTACGACTACCAGGACCCGCAGACTCAGGCCTCATCTCCTCCACCTCCCTCTCTCCCCCAACCCCGAACCCCTGCTCTGGACTGAAAAGGCAGACCGAGACCGCGCCCAGGCCTCCTCGCTCCCCTATGCTGATGCAGACTAGCCCCCAGCTTCCGCTTCCACTCCTGCACCTTCCCCCTCGCCTCCACGCCAGCCCGGGGCTGAGGCTGGAGAGCCACTGTCCCAGCAGACGTGCGTACTCGGCTGTACAGGGCCAACGCGCTCGCCAAGAAATGGCAGAAGCGCCCTCGCCCTCGACAGCTGGTCAGGTTCAGGGCGTCTCTCGCTGTGTATTTTTACTAAGCCTCCTTGTCCTCAAGGCTCCTGTCTCACGGGGGTCGTGACCACTGGTGGGCCTCCCATACTTGAGTGGACTCCCAGGTTTGGATAATTCAGAGCAGCAGGAACCTCAGATGCAGCGACAGCCGCCTGGAGGACCTTCCAAGGGGCAGGAAGTGGCACGTGATCACAGTGTCAAGAATGTCAAGAAGGAACAGGGGCTGTGGGGCCAAGACAGGCAGAAAGCAGAGACGTAACGAAAGCAGACGCTTGTCTGGGATGACAGATGAAGTACTGGCCCATCAGAGTGCGCACCCTCATGTCACTGAGTCCTATTTCAGGGTCATAAGGACGACAAAATTAAGGGAAATTTATTTAAAATAACTTACAAGGACATGTTGTCCTTTTTAGCAATCAAATCACATTTGTTCTTTAATAAATCTTTGACATCTGATCAGGAATGGTCAATGATCTATGGACGATGCCCAGGATCCAGGAGCAGAAAGCAGCAGGACTGCAGCCTAGAAGGTGCCGCTCGTCCTCGCTCCTCCAAACCCACCCCTGCGCTCAGAAGAGCCCGGTCTGCACGGAGGAGGCGCAGGCATCTCCCCAGCCAGCACATCCTCAGCGACGACTACCCAGAGGACGTGGGCAAGGAGGCAGCTCATTACAGCCCTCCTAAAGACAAAGCATCTGGCTGAGTAGCCAGCCACCTCCGATCACACCGGCGGGCGAGGGATGGTTTCATCAGTGACTTGTGTTTTCTTGACTTTGAGAAGCACCTCTTCCAGGCCAGGCACAACTCCTACACACGTGGTCCCTGCTCTTCAGGGAGGAGAGGCTCCAACCACAGGACAAGGGGTGGGGTGCAGGTAAAGGACTCTGCTCTCCAAAATTTTTGTTCAGAAGCCTAGAGTTCAAACTTAGGTTACCTCAGGCTTTACTACTTGAATCTCTAGCTACGAGGTGCAAGAAATGAGAGGGAAAAAGGGGTAACCACTTCTGGAAAGTGACAACAATGAAATGCTGGTTACCAGCAATGACTGGGTCAGAAAATGCAAAAGGAAAACAAACGCACACTTGGCCCAGGTTCCAGCTAGTTTTCTGCCATAAAGGCAAAGCCCAGCTGCTTTGTTAATCATTCATGAGGTGGGCTCTGAAATGGCAAGAAGGGAGGCGAGTCGGTAGTGGGGAATTGGCACATGCAGACTGAAGGGCTGAAGACAGTACCCACTCACAGGGCGTGGCAGCCACGGGCGCAGCCCCAAGCCTCCGGGACTCGCAGCCCCAAGAGGAGGAGAAGAGTGCGGGGAACCTAACGTCTGATGTGGGGTGACCAACATCTACTCTAGGCAGTTTCCTTAAAAAAGGGTACACTTATTTCCTTCCTGGGACATACACGCTGGGGAGTGGCCCCACTCCGACATTCTTTACAAGAAGACAACGAGCTCTGCCTGCCTCTTGGGATTAGTAAGTTCAATGGTAACAACAATGAGAGAAAACACAAAAATCACATTCTCTGGGAATTATTTCCTGTAACTTTTACGCTGGTGCCCCAGGCACCCTGAAATGGTTGTGGTCTCACCAGAACATCCAAAGCACCTACCTCTGCCATCAACGTCACAACGGTGGTGTGACTTTGACTTCCTTCCCTTCGCTGCCACTCTGTTATGAACCCAGAAACTCTGCTGCAAGCTGTTACGCACTGCACCGCAAGCTGGGTTTCCCTAACTTCCAGCAAAGCACCAACCTCTAAAGTTACGCTCGGGCAAACGTTTTATTCCTCTTGAGAGAATGTTCCTGTTCTTCTCTAAAGGCAGGTTCTCAGGAAGACTCTCAGGAATTGCTGAACTCATTCTAGGGAAATGCTTGGACAGGGTATTACCGGCAGCCAGACGAGCAGGACACACGCTCATCATTTGCTGGTGGTTACGGGCAATTACTGGGACCTCATCTTTCACCTTCGCGCTGCTGGCTTGCCGCAGCGTTCAGGCCACAACCGAGGCTGCTGTTCTAGTGTGCTCGGCATGTGATGGGCACTTGGCGGCATCTGCTGGCCCGGCCCATTTCTATCATCTATATCCTGGTGACCACAACTGCTGGTGACCAGCCCCTGGCCCTCACCCTTGCCCGCAGAGGCCATGCTCACATGGCAGCAGGTGACTTGTGCAGACCTATCAGACCAGGTCTCCCTCCAGTGGCTCCCCTTCCACTCGCCCTCCCCCTCCCACTAGCCACCCTGCTGTCCTGCGTTCCCCTGCGCGCTGTCCCCACTGCCTGGATGCCCTCAGTCAGAGCCTCCCCACCCCAGGGCAGGCCCCCTTGGGGTTTCTGCCTCCTGTGCAACGGGCTCGCTCTGCCCTCACCCCTTCGTCCCCTCACCTGCTCTGCTCTCCTCCCCTTTCACCAGACGATCTGGTTCCCGGGTAACTTACTCACTATGTCCATTACATTCACTGTCTGCTCCCCGACTAGACTGTTAGAAAGGTGAGGACTTCCGTCTGGTTTGATCCCTGTGGTATCCTGAGCACCTGGAATAGTGCCCAACACAATAAATGTTTGTGAAATGAATTTTTTTTTAAAGTTTCAATTCATAAGAAGAAGAAAAGCAAGAATGCTACAGTGTTCATCTATTGGAAGCCAGACTGGCATTCTTCTCAAAATAGCAGGTAACTACCAAGAACTGTGGCTCCCCCAACAAGGGGGAGGTCTCATAAGCACACATGGGAGAGTCACTGGCCAAGACACACACGTTCCATCATAAAAGACATTCAGCTGTTCCAAGCGCCCTTCCCCTGTACTCTGCTCTGTGCTCAAAGTGGGCTGTGGAGTCCACACCTAATGCCTGATGATCCCAGGAGCCAATTAATCCTACAAAGGGCCTGAACATTAAATTAATACCTAACTCTCTGGCAGATTTCCTTGGAATTGGGTTCATGGTCTACAGTCCTTCCTCTGCACTGTTCTTTCTCATTTTTCTTTGTACTTTCAAACAGGAACTGCTTAGGTCTAATGTTTCCAGCCCTTACCTTCACCTCTAATTTCCATCTCTACAGCTATTTCCACCGACATGTCATGTCTCTTCCTTGCAGTTTTCAAAGAAAGAGAAAAATGGATCCCTCAGATTCAAGCTGCTGGGTCAAAGCTCGAGTCCTGATGTAAGCCAAGATAAAGCCTCATTTGTGCAAAACACGGGGAAGGATGAAATTAACATTTAATATCACTTTAAAGCCTTCCGTGCCTGCTTCCAAACCCTGCAGAATTAGGGAGATTGAAGGCTTTTGCCAGGGAGCAGAGACGCCTGCTTGGCCTCTCAGCTTGTCCGGGGGCCAAGCGGGTGGAGCTGGGGCTGAGGCTCTGCTGGGTTACCCACCCACCACCACCTAAGAAACTGACCGACCTTTCTTGGCCCCGGAGACCCTCCTCTCGCTGGAGTGCACGTAATCTTCAAACACCGTCTGCAAGACTGTGGCTCGCTCTCGGATTTCCTGGGGGCCAACGGCGTGGGATTTCTGGGAGGGTGATGGAAGGATTAAAGGAGACAGAGTCAGAGTCAGGAATAATGAAGCAGTTTATAATAGATTTAATAACAGTAAAATCACACAGTAACCACCTAGGGGCCAACAAGGGTAATCCTTTCAATATTACTAGGGAGAAAGAGAGGGCTATGAAGATGTTAAAGTCGAGCAAAGACGAGGGTGGCTTTGAGAGGGAGCGGACCAGGCCTCTTTATTTATTTACTTATTTACCTACTTTTCTTCCTGGCCTCATAGCACTCAGGTTCAAAAAAAAGTCCACTGGAGACGCTGGAATTGTCCAGGTCCAGCTCAGGCGTTTAGAACATCACTGCACATAAGCGGTTTTCAAATGAATCTTGCGTGTTCTACTCTGGCCTTAAATCCCCTGCCCTGCCCTGTACTCATCGACGGAACACTGACCACTCCTGCTGAACGGCCTCCCACAGCGACCTGCCTACGGCCCGTCCTGGAGCTGCAGAGCACGTGTCCCCGGCCCTAGGACACTCAGACTTCGTGTTTCAGACCCGGGCTTTCGGCCCAGACCGCTGTGCTGAGCCCCCAGGAACCTGTGGGGGAGCGAGTGGGCTCTCGCAGCAAACCACACGCGAGGAAGACAGCATGTGGCTCTGCAGCCAACGGCCCCCCAGTAAAAGGGAACATCTGTAGGCCCTGAAGGACCCTCTACAGGTGGAAAATGGGCATAAAACAAAGGCTCATTTTCTTCTCATCCTTCTGCAACCTCACAGAAGAGCCTCCTCTTTCCACGTCCCTCTGAAAACAAGGGCTTTGTGTTTCCTGTGTCTTAAAACAAGCCGGAAGGCTTCCTCCTGGACGTGAAGCTGAGGCCGAGAAGAACTCAGACGCTCCAGCCTGGTCTGGCGACCGTGTCTCCCCAAAGGTGCCCATTCCGCGAACGGTGCTATTAAGCTCTATCCGCACCTCTCCCCAGCCCCCCGACCACGTAGGTCACCAGGAAAAAGCCAGTGGGAGGGCCAGCTCGCTCTTCTTTTATCCCCTGCGGGGACAGGGTGTGCGCGCCCGGGCCTGGGTGACCGTGCCCTAGCCGGGCTTGGGGTCTCTCCTGCGCTGAAAGCTGCTGGGGGAAGAACAAAGGAAGGAGGAGAGAAAAAGCCCCCTCCTAGCGACATCGGTCTCCGGATTGATAGAGACTTAACAACCTGAAGATGTTCTTAGTTTAGTCAAATCATTCCTGCTACCTGTTTGGTTGACAACAGTCTAGCCGGTTTCACAGTACATGGTCCCCCTAAGGGTTTTATCCACTCAAATGTCAAGAGAAAAGTCACTCAGGAGCTGTGTTACGAAAGTGGACATTTGCTGTTGTCGTTAACGAGGATTTTTTTTCTACCCCCTTAACTGACGTGAAATGCAAACTTTTTTTTTTTTGCTGCCCTCTTTCGTTAAGCCACCTCAGCAGCACAACTGTCACCTTCCTTGCGTGTTTTTTTTTTTAATATGAATGTGAAATTAGCAAGGATGCCCTTTCCCCTGGCGGACAGAATCCTCTGTTATTAAAAAGTAAAGCACTTTAATAATGAAAACTTTTTCCTCTTTTTCCTGTGTTTTAACTGTTTAAAATTAATGAGAAGGGCAGAATGGTTGTCAAAGCGATATTGAAAGCCGGGCAGCCAGGACCGAATAAGCACAAAAATCCCTCTAGAGTGTTAAGTAAACAGAGCCCCAGTCCTCTCGAATCCTTCTGTTGGTTATTGTATACATTCTGTAACAGCTCTCAGAATAGATCTGAGAGCCAGGGAGGCAGAGAGGTTTCAGAATTCCAATAAAGGCCTCAAATTAAAGACAGCCTGGTGCGAATTCCAGGAGAAAATTAAAGAGACCTCAAGCTTAAGTGACAGGTGACTTGCTTCTGTGTCACAACTGTCAGGGGATTTAGTGATAATATGGCAATATATTACAAAGGGCTTTTCTTATTCCCCCCTTTAGGTTTCAAAATGAGGCATCTTTTCTTCCCAACCATAAAAAAAAAAGGAAAAAGAAAAAATTACACATATATAGATAATGTGAGTGTGTATACAAGTGAAATCTGTAGGAAAAAAGGCGATGAGACTAGGTTCACACGTTTGAAATGATGAGGTCAGTTTTAGAGAAATGTAAGAAAAAGTTGATGGCAGAAAACACAGCGTACTTAGGAGAAAGCCGGTCTCACCCTCTGTCCGCCCCTCGTTTCCAGAAATACGCTATTTTAAAAATCGCCCCTCTTGAGAATGACTGAGGTATTTCTCAGTTGTCTTTGGGGGAGGACAGTCTAAATTTAAACTGAAGCCAGAGGGGGCAGAGTCATGCAGCACCAGCTCAGCCCCAGACAGGTCAGACGCTCCCGAAACGAGAGTGGGTCAGACCCGCAGGGCACGCGGCTGCCCCACAGGACTGGCCCTCCCACCCTCAACAACGCAGACCCAGGGTTGCTTAGAGATGCTCACCTGCAACTAATGGACCACAAGGTCCAAAAGGTCTATACACACTCAAAACCCTTTGTCAGTAAGACCCTGCTGACCTTGGAAGGGACAGATAATCAAAAAGCACTGAGCAAAGGGCTAGAGGTCTTGCTTTAGTATCTTGCCACGCCAGTGAGTGTGCAGTTAGGATAAGCTTACGGGCATATTTCATAGGACAAGAATACATTTAGGGGAACATGTCTGGATGTGTGCCTACCCTGTGAAGAAGGAAAATTCATGCAGACCAAGAGGCAACAAATGAGTTTACGGTTGGCAGGCTGGATTATCTGTGCTGTAAAAGTTTTGGGTGGGAGCAGCGGTCGGTGGAGGGTGGCTTTTTTTTTTTTAAGCATGTGTCTTGATCTTGCCAACTTCTAGGTGTTTTTAAACTAAATGGAAAGATTTTGTTTTAATCACTTTATTGCCAAGCTGAGGTTTACCCCTACGGTCCCTAGAACCTTCTGAGCGCTTCCCAGTCAAGCTCAGAGATGGAATTTATTCTCTTTGTAGGTGGGTGAACATTCACACACCCAGACGTAGCTATATATATTCATCTACCTAAATATGAAATATACATTTTACAGATGCTTCGCTCGCTTTCTTTCTGTTCACAGAAACCCAAAAACACACGCGCCAGAGGGACGTTTACAATGGACTCGAACCAAGCTGGGGAAGAGGGACACCCTAATGAGGGTCTGTCTGGCCGTGTGTGCAGCAGGCCTGTCTGCTGAGGCCACACTGCTCCGCCCGGCACTGGTGTGTCTGCTCCAGGGAACTGTCCAAACTGAGAATGCCAGTTAAGACATGCTGTCTTTTTTATGTAAAACAGAATTAAAAGTTGTATCCAGCATTCACTTGGTTCTCTTTTCTGGTCTCTCTTTACTGGTCACGTGAGTCACACACATAGTTACAGCTCTCTGGCTGGACGTCTAGATAGCAATGTTGTCAATTCAGTTTAGTTTTCCTCTGTCCTCCGAACTAAAGTTGATCAAACAAGTGGTGTTCACGGACCTGAGCCTGCTATGATTAGCTAAGTTTTCTAAGGTAACCAGTTAGTTTGGTGTTGGTGAAAGCTCGATCTTGCCTAGCACTTTTTCTTTTTGAAAACAACGATCACCAAACCATAAGACCATCAAAACATTCCCCTCGTTCCTACCCACCAAGGCAGAGCCAGGGCTGAGGTGAGCTCGCATGACCCAGCAGCGTGCGGGGCGCTCTGTGCCCTGTCTTACTGAGACCTCCCAGCACCGGGCATTGGGGTGGGCCTCACCCCACAGACGGGTAACTGAGGCTGGGGAGGACTGGAAGCCCCCAGCTGCAGGATGACCAGCTGGGGGACAAGGACTCGAACCCATGCCTGTGTGCCTGCCTCGGGCCCAGCTCTCACCCACGGCCTCCCCCGGCCCCTCCAGCTCAGTGGTCCTCGAGGCCGGCCTCAGGGGAGAAACTGGTGCAGCCAGGCCACAGGGGGCAGAGGCTCAAAAGAACGGCCATGGCTCATCCCTGAAAGAGCAGAGGGAGGGGCAGCTGCTCTGCTCCCGCTCGGGGAACACGTCCTTCAGCAGGGCCCCCGCGCCGTCCACCTGCTGCCCCGGACACGTGCAGATGCAGCGGCCATTGGAGCCCCGGAGAGAGCCGATCTGTGCTCGGGGTAAACACCCACCCCAGGGCCCGTCGCGGAAACAGGCCGTAAAGACCAGATCCGACCAAACCTCTCCGGCCTCACTTTGCCGTGGTCCCGCCTGCCCTTGTTTCGGGAGGGCAGGCAGACGCTGGTTTTCCACTTGGTGTGACTCAGCAGAACAAGGGACGAGGCGCTGTGTCACTGAGTCTGGGCCTTGCTCCCACACCTGCTACTAACTGATGTGGCCACAGTAACAACACCCATAGTGAAGGCGCCCTCTGCTATCGGCGCCCGGACTTCCGGGCTGCTTCCTCCTGAACCCCTGCGACCTCCTCTGAGAAGAATACGAACGTTGCCTCCGTTTCACACGTGGAGAAACCGAGGCTTAGGAGGGTGCAGTCCCGGCCCAAAGCCACGCAGCTGGGGAGACTAGGAATGGGACCCCAGGCCACACTCCTGACCATCCAGCTGCACTGCCCCCGGCTGTTCCCCAGGCACCCCCGCTTACCCCACGAAGCTGCCCCACGGTGAAAATTAAACAGCTGTGGGATCATCTGAAAATTAAAAATAAACAAACAAACAAACAAAAACCCCACCCTAACTAGAATTTGCAGTCAGAGGAACAGAAGAGCATGCCAAGACCAATGAGCGTCTAGTTTCCGGTGAGGTCCCTTGACAACAAACTATGAGTACAGGATGGTCCAAAGCCTAGTGTGGCCGGGATGCTTTGCGACGCAGTGTCACTTAAAATAATATGATCAACTGAGTCTTAAATCACGTTTCTTACTCATGGGGACCTTTGCTGCGGTACCATTTACTGACCAAATTTCACCTTTATGAGTGGCTGATGTTACCTCATTGGAAAAGCAACTTAGTTCCATCTTCTTGGTCTAATTACTACTAAGGGAGGCAGGCGGGTACACAGTGGAGGACACGTGCTTTGAACTTAGAATGCCTGCTCTCACACCCCAGGAGGGCCAGTGGTCATCAATGTGCCCTTGTGAATGTTCCCTCAACTCTCCAAGCCTCAGTTTCCTCATCTGTAAAGTGGGAGGGTAACATCTACCTCACAGGGCTGCCAAGAGGATTAAGTGGGACCAAGCGTATAACGAGCTTAACACAGTCCCAGGTCCAGGACACACGCTGGGTACCAGACACTGTGATTACTTCCTCTGACTTCCTTACGCAAGTTTCCTTAGGTACCCTCCAGAGCAAGAGAACTCAAGTCAGGGTCAGTCAAAGCGAGTCCTTGCCTCGGGGAGAATATCGATCCAAATAAAGAGACACACTAACGTGTAAAAGAAACTCTTAAACTTGATCTATTTGGCTCTGATTTTCCAGTCTATCCTCAGGCATAAGAAAGCAAACGTAAAATACCCAAATTAAAGTTTCATGGACAAAATTACACACACACACACACAAGTACACGCGATCTACCGAGTAACCTGTTACAGTGGGGTAGGAAGTGATTCCTAGACGGGGGAACCTACAAAAAAGAAGCAGGAAAGGATGCTCTGGGCTGTCTGCGACTGCTCAGGACCTCCATATGGAACTGTGCGGATAATAAACATTTTTCTTCTTAATGATCTCAACTTTACTCTTCCTCTGTGTACAGCACACGTTAAAAAATGGATGAACTGAGTGTGTCTGAAAGGAGATCTAGAGATATTTCCCTTTTCCACGCTGCCCTGGGTGGATGGGCCCTGTTGGTAATTTGGAGAGGGACCACCAGGGATGAGGGTGGAACACTGCCTCCAAACTCTTTCTGGGATGAGACCTCCTTTCTGGAAGGCCTGCTGCTGCCTGGCACACTTCCAGAATGGACTACAGCCCATTAACTGGATGAGACCAGCAAACACATCCAGAGCAGAGAAAAAACACAATCAAGATTTGACCAAGGCGGGTGGGAACAGCTCGTGTTTAGCACGCACGAGGTCCTGGGTTCAATCTCCAGTACCTCCACTTAAAAAAGAAAAAGAAAAACTATTTGGCCTCATCTAATGTTCATGATCCTTAAAAATAACTGCTCCCCACACAGGAGCTCTATGGCCCCAAGTCAGGAACTGAGTCACGTCTGTTAGCAGCAAGCACACTAAAACACAAAACTCACCTGGTTTCCACGTCGGCTCCTTTTAAAACAATCATCCTTGGTCAGAACAGACAGGATATCTTCCATCTTTATCTCAGAAACGCTGTAAAAGGAAAGGTATATCAAGGTCGACTTTTCATTCTTTCAAAAACGTCCGGAATCTTGACGCACAGAACCGGCCTCTCGGGCTGGTTCCACGTAAAGCTGAAGCCACACCGGGTCCTGCGAAAGCGGGTATTTTCTAGACGTTCAAGAATCTGGAAGGAGGGGACCTCTGTGATATTAGAGGGACGGGTGGGGTAACACTCCCTACTGTCTCCTTCCTCCCTGATAAATTGAAGCAGGCTACGTTTAGAATTTCCTTTATAGGAATCATTGCACTATTTCTCAATAAATTCTGAATACTAAATACATGGCTCTGCTTATTGACACACTCCCTTGACTTGGGCAGAAGATGACAAAACAGAAAACATTTTGGACTGTCCCTTTAATTTCATACTTAATACAAGAAAGGAGATGGCAAAGGACCCTTAACTGTGGGGGCGAACACCTGAGTGACAGTAAACAGGTGACCGACTACGTTGATGTACCGGCGCTCCCTCCTAATCTACCCGGAAGAGACTTCACTTCCTGTCTCTGACGAATCCGGGGCTCTGGGCACACGGCGGACACCAGAACTCAGGATTCACCCGGCAACAGAAACCATCGGGAACCAGAACAGAACAACCCACCCTGCCTAGCAGTGGCGTCTGGACAGCCTCCCGGTACCCCCCTGCTCAGCAAGCCCGCAGCCCTCCACGTGGGAGGGCTCACAGCAGACTCAAGTTTTAGAGACCAAGGAAGGAACAGACGCTGCGGAAACACATCCCAGGGAGACAGGAACAAGGGAATGAGGTGCTCCGGGGGAGAAAAGCAGATCATAAAAAGATAAATGATTTTCTTGCATGTCTTTTTTTTTTAATGTAATGGTAAATTAAAACTTGAGTGGCAACCTCCTCCGTGGGAGAAGACAACTCTCCCCGGGTCCCCTGAAGGTTACTCTGACAAAGCTCTGAATGAACACGCCACGTCTCCGGCAGCGACTCACCTGAAACGTGTCACCGTGTCCCTCAACACCCCCAGCCCCCACCCCTCGCCCGGCTCCTTCTCCGTTGCTGGCTCCCAGCCCTGTGGGTACGTGAAGTCTTTTCACAGCAGGAAGAGTCACCCAGAGAAGGCGGTGTTCACCCCGAGAGGTAGGGGTTAGGGGGGAGACGTGCATGCTTTTACAGGAAAATCTATTTTTCGTGTGGGAGAGAAATGTTACGGCTATCGGATTTGCCTCTTATTTAGGCCTGGAAATCTGAAGGGAGGTAAAAATCGTAGCCCCGTCCTGTCTTTTCCTTTGTCTTGCTGACTTGACTCTATCGTCCTTTTTTTTCTTAAGGAAAAAAAAGGTGGGGTGGGGAATACAAAAGTAAAAGAAATATAAGAACTTGGGGTCAAATCCTGAAGTCGGGAAAAAGAAAGGAAGGATGATGCCGTTCACAGCCCGGGATACACAGAATTACAGGCCGGAGAAAGGCGCAGATTCCTCAAGCGCCCGGGACGGCCGGCACCTCAGCCAGGGCGTGGCTCGTGCGCTGCGGGTGTCCCCATGACAATGTTGGGGACCGCTGACCTTAGTGAACAGGAGCTGAGAATGAACTGAGTGACAGTTTAAAAGGGTCTTCCTCTTCGTCTAAGAAGTCATTGCATCTGAGGAACAAAGCACATCTACTCTGCTGATTCGTGGTTCTATCAGCACATCTGAACCACCCCACCTTACTAGAAGAGACAGATAAATAAATTCAAGGAACTGTCTTATGCCTGATCTAAGAAACACACATTTTGGTGAATCATTTACATTTTAATAAACCAATGATGACTTTCATTGGAAATGCATTTAAAGGAGAAGTGAGGAAAACTTAAGAAGCTGGCAAATACAAAGCAGTCAAAAGGACGCAGAAACAAAGTTCTGAGCATTTAGAAGGAGGCGGCCACAGCCCAGGGCACCTGTCTCCTGCCCCTTCTGTTAAATTAAATTGTCAGGGTGAGTTCCAGGCCGCTGGGCGTAGAAGGGCAGGCGGCAATTTGCTGTGACGGCCCTGCTGCCGAGAGCCTCGCCTGCCTTCCCGAATCTTCCCAGTAATTTATCAGCCATCCCGGCGTCCTGCCACCTGGCTCGCAGGTTCTTAGGCACCAAACATACACACATTTCCCTCCCTCCACCTCCTGCCACCCTTTTAGGATATTTAGATGTGCACATTTTGGATTTCCAAAATCATCAAGTCTGCCTCTTTCCATGGCACACTGTGTAATTAGTTATTAGATTTAATTATTTTGCATGAAGTCAAAGAAACCGTCTGCGTACAGATCCCCAACACGCTGCCCTGATTTCCGCAAACAGAAACCAGGAAGTGCAAGCTGAGGCAACGACGCAGCGATCGGCTTCTGATCATCACTCGGGTTCCCACCTCGCCCACGAGGCAGCCAGTCAGGCCCAGGCACTCCAATGGGCGAACACTCAGCAGAGGAACTGGCGAGGCGGGACCCCTACAGAACCCTTCGCCCCTGAAGTGAGCGTTCCCACGCCGCCCTGCGCACGCAAGGCCCAAATCTCTCCCCCGTGGGGCTCCCCTGTCTTCACCTTCCTGAGCATCCCGTCCGAGCCCAGGTCCCTGCCTGCACTGCGTTCTCGCCTGAAGGGGAACACGCTGCTGGCTTTCTCACGGATGCCGCTGGCTCTTCCTCCAGACGAGCCATCATAAAGGATGACCGTCCTCGTCGCACCTGTGAAGCGCACCCAGCTCACGAATGGTTCGCGTTGGTGCTAGTGACTGTTCCGCCTTGTTCAGTCTGCGGCTTACGCCTGAACCTGCCATCACAGAGAAAGGCTGCGAGAACACCGAGCGGCGGCGGCACGCCTGCTGCCGACTCTGGGTTGCACAGTCACCGTGTGACTTCACGCCTGTGAGCGCCTGTTTCTCCAAGATCACGCGCAGGGAACGAGCACAGACCAACCAGAGGGCTGCTGACGGGAGGGACAGGGGAGGACGTGAACTTGCGGGTCTAGAGCAGAAGGAGGAGGCGCCGTGGGGTGAGAGGGCGTCTGCTGAGGGGCAGCGAGCACTTTCTACACGGGACGGCCGCGCACCGCTCTGACAACGCCTTCCACGGTACGCGAGTTCCCAGGACGGAGGGAGAAGGGCTCCCAGGCCGTGAGAATGGGCTACACCAAGGGGTTTCATCTCAACCCCCCGGATTTCTGGAGCAAAGTGGCCTGATCCGGTGCCGGCCTAACTCAGAAGGGGCCACAGAGAGCAGCGTGAAGCAGCCTCCAGCCCCAGGGAACCCAGAAGCCAGCTGGGGGTGAAAAGTGACGGACGGATGGATCGACAAGAGACTTCTCTCACAAGGAAGGTAACGGACGCACGTCTTCCCCAAACAGATAAAAACCACCCTTTCAACCGACGAACTGTATCAAGATGAGAGAGTTCAGCGAGAGGAACACCTAAACCTCCCTCCTGTTGGCGTTCTCACCAGAGCCCTCGGGAGTGGGCCCGTGCCTCCCCCAAGACAGCAGGGTGTGAAGCACACCTCCTGAGGAAGCCGCTCGGCAACCCTGAAAGAGTGCTGAGGGTGCTGGCAAGTCCGACTAGGGCGAGAGGGAGGGCCTGCGGGGTGGGGCGCGGGCGCTGCGGCCACGCCCCTGCTCTCCCAGTGGGTGGCCGGCCCTTAGTCCCGAGGCTCCCCTAGCCCAGGTCCGCGTGCCGGCGGCCTGGGCCCTTCGGTTCTGAGGGAGGAGACCACGCTTCTCCCAGCTCTGCTTCAGGGGGAAGGAGCCCTGTGGTTACGTGGGATGCTTTCCATAAAACACAGGCTGCGCACCAAGAAACGAGAGCCTCCCACAGAGCCAGGCTGGGTGCCGGCGTCACTGCGTGGCTTCTGAGATGCCCCCGAGTAGCTGTGGCCGCCTCGGTGCCCGGTGTGGGTCCACGCCCACCAGCCTGCCACACACGCGGCTTGCCCTGGCCTTCAAAGACACTCTGTGCATCACCGCACTCTATCTGAGCAGAAGAAAATCGTGAACGTACATTGGTGTGAAAACCTGCGTGCCTTTAGAAGCCCAGTTTTAGAAGCTTGTCATTTCAGGCGCTGGAGAGCTTATGGAAAACGCGACAAAAAAAATTCCTCTCTGAGGCCCTTTCATCCTAACCCACCCTGGCCAGGTGGAGTGCTGCTCTCTTGGCCTTTTCTGGGTGAGATCAGGGAGGCTCCAGGCTGCCGAGTCCACGATCCGGGCACAGTGGGGGCTCACACAAGATGGCAGGAGGAGCCTTGGCCCCAAACTTACGGGGCCTACCTCGACTGCTCCTAACAATTTCTTTCCTCGGTTTCTTTTCCTGGGGAAGGGGGAGCCAAGTGATGAATCAAGAGTACTATTTTTTTTCAAAGACACGTCAACTTTAAAGGTCCAAGGCGTTAATTAATGGCAAGAAACAAAACCTGTGAATAAAAAAGCTCTTCAGGAAGCTGGCGGTGAGGGCGGTGCACACACATTAGAGAAATGAAATCCAGACCTCTGCCTTAAAGGAGAACGACGTGCAACAGGCCGCTCAGTGCGCGCACAACGCAGCGAAGGCTGTCACGTGCTGAAGCTGTGAAGGGTTTTAGTTTTTGCCACTGGCTATTCTGGGACTCATTTGGGGATCACAAGGGTTAATGGCTCTCCGTCAGCTTACAAGGCCCTTCCACTGTAGAAAGCGACAGAAAGTTAATTAGGTGAGATCAGCTGAAGCCGCGTTCAGGTTTCTGACTCACTTGATTTTGTGAGAAGCCAACGAGTTGACATATTCTGCCTCTGAAGGAGCCAAAATGAGCAGGCTGCTCCCACGGCAGCCAATCCGGGCCGTTCTCCCAATCCGGTGGATGTATTCAGCAGGTGAAGCCGGAGCGTTGTACTAAAAAGGGTAACAAGAATGAAGGCATTCGCAGATCAAGGGACTGCCATTAATTGGAAGTGCAACACCCCTCACCTGCCTCCAGGTAGCCCGAAAATTAAACCCGGGTGCTATGGTTACCCTAACACAATCACGAGGCGAAGTCTCTCAACCCCGAAACTCCTGGCTTCACTGGAAATAACAAGGCTCTGACGTGCGAATGTGAACAGTGGCCAAGTTTCAGAGAGACGAGGCATCTTCTCGTCCCAGTATCTCCCTGTTAATTTTACTTCTCCACAGGTCTCTTCATTTTCCCATTTGCATCTTTTCACGGAGGTGACTGCAAGGTGAAAACGCAGGCGGGCGGGGGGGCTGCTGCGGGACGACCACATGACCTTGGCCTACTTCCTCAGTAGACGAGCAGAGCGGGGGTGAGGCCACAGAGGACACTGGAGGTTCCCTCTGCTCCTGGGCCCTCAGGATCAGGTCCCTATCGCCCCAACGGAGCAGAGCTGCAGGGCAGCTGAGAGGCAGGCCCCATTTGTGCCTCCACTCCCACAGGCAGTATTCCTGACTCGGGAAAAGAGCAAACTTAAGAACTGAGAACAGGTGTTCTCTGTGGTGATCACGCCGCCATCATTAAGGCTAACTGACCAACTATTCACTCTTCCCTTTTTTTCTTTGTTGCTACATGAATCAATGATTAGAGGGCCAAGATCAGAGGGCCAGGCACATTAAACTGACCGTTACCCACGACTCTAAGCCGGCTGTAAATGATCGATTTTGTGTGTCTGGCCTCCCGCACAATAAACCGATCCTTGCCTCCCTATTTTTAATTTGTGCCGCGGCCAGCAGGAAAGAGGACACAATGCCTCTAGTCGCAGAGTGATCATCTGCGAGAGCAGAGCAGACTTCCTAGCTAGTGACAGGCATGCAATCCCACTAAAATGTGAATAAACCATGACTCACGTAAACAGGGCACCTGCCCCCCGGCCCCCACACAGAAGGGCTTAAAAATACCAGTCCCGCAGACTAACGAAAAGAAAAAACAAAACTAAGGCCACTAGACTCCAGCGCTAACACCTCTACCCTCCGGCAAAGCATCTACGGCGAGAGGTCTGTGTAAGATGCTGTCAGGGACGTAATTGCCCCTGCAGGTCAACGTGCATGGTCACAGCTCTCAGGACAGCTGAGCCATCTCCTTCTGGACGCGACGAGGCCGCCCAGGGGCCCAGGTAGTTCCCGTTAGTTTCAGCTGGCCGAAACTTTGTGTGTGAACAGGCATCAGTCTGGGAGCAGGGGAGCCTGCCCCTCCCTCCCACGACTGCAGAATGGAGGTTGTACTGCAGCAGTTAGGTGGGCTGGGTTGAGGCAAGATGTCAGAACTGTGCAGGTAAGACTGGTTGCTGCCTGGTTACCAGGGCAACACCCAAGAGGGTCATAATAATTGTCCTGCTTAAAGCCAATACAGCTACTCACAATCATATATACTCCTGCCTCAAGCTCATCCCTTAACCAAGAAAAAAGGAAAAAAAATTACCTGAACAATCCACGTGACTTGAGGGAGATCCAAGCCCCGAGCGGCAACATCCTTCAAAACAGAAAAGAATATGGCTTAGGACTGAGCACCTCAACCTTTCTTGGCTCACGGCTCTGAGGAGCTAATGCAAACCACGAGGGCTCAGCCCCCACTAACGTGCATGGACTTGTGTGCACACGTTTGCACACAACTTCAGGAACCCACTGAAGTCCATCTGTGGGTAAAAGTCCAATTTCGGGGCAAGTTCTACAGAACCTCCCAACCCACTTCCCCAAAAGAACAAAATCTGCACTTCAGCCCGAGAACTGCAGTAAGTCACCATCAGCTGTGCCATGGAAGAAGTCTGAACAGTCACGGCGTGTTTTCCATTTTATCTGAAAACCTACTTTACGGTGAACGCATTCACAGGTCACTGTCCCCAGCCCACTCTACCAGCCACACCTAACAACGACGTGCTTTGAGGTGGGCTTCTGAAGATCGCCCAAGGTGTTCCGTCGTGGAGGTGCGCTGCAAAGTTCTGAGGACTGGCTGATTAGCCTGAGAGAGCAGGAAGGAGCGAGGGGTGCCTCGCCTCTGCTGACAGCTGAGCCAGAACGCAAGCCAAAGACTGAGCAATGCAGACCGGAAGTATAAAAGCACTGGAGGTACTTTTTTCTTTTCAGCTGGTCACTATCTATAGAACAGAGACTGCTGTCTGCTTTCTGGCCAGTCTGGCAGAGAGACCAGAAAATGGGGATTTTCCAGTCTTCAGCAATAAATGCACAGTTGACATTCACCTTCAAGTACAAGTCACGCCAGGAATCTACGCAGCCAAAGTGCACTGAGCACTCACTACGCACCAGATGCTGGGCAGAGCATTTCACCTGTGTTATCTTTTTTGAAATAACCCCTCAAACAACTATTACTCCCATTTGACAGAGAAGAAACCAAGGTTCAGAGAGACTGAGTAACTTGCCCAGGGGCACACAGCTAAGAAATAGAAATAGGTCTCAAATCCAGGTCTGCTTTACTCCTCCAAGACTGTATTATATTACACTGCTCCACCATCAAAAAAGATGCTATGTCCCTCACACGCTGTTGGTGGGAATGCAAAATACAGATCCCGAGGGTGTCGAATTTGGAAATATCCAGCAAAATCACACAGGCATTTGCCCTTTGACCCAGAGCGATCTCCCTTCTAGGAATCCATTCCAAAGAGACACTGGCAAAAATTTAAAATGACATATGCACAAGGCTATTCATTTCGGTACCATTTACAGTGTACGTCTGGCAAAAACCCCAACGTCTAGCAGGAGACCGGCTGAGTAACACAAGGCAATACTGACTCGGTATAATCGAGTTCACACAGCTACCAAAGGAACGAAGACGGTCCGATGTACTGACATGGGGAAACATCTAGGGTATATTTTGAGTGTGAAGAGTATGCTTATGTGTAAGAAATGGGGGAAATACAAACACAACTGCTCTTAGTTCAAAAAGAAATAATGGAGGGAAAAGCCCAAAGCCTCTAAAAATAGTGACCTACTGGGAAAAGAAGAGAATGGAGGGGAGGGGACAAGGACGGAAGGTGGACTTCCTTTAATGGACCTTTATCATTCGGACCCTGGGACTGTGTCTTAGAACAACTAAAAAGATGACAGCTGTCACGTGACAGGAAGTCCCGAGTGCAGTATCGCCCATGACATATTCTTGCCAAAACAAAAACAAAACCCTTGAACTGGAATCTACACAAGTGTCCAGACCTGCTAGTGCAGAGGAGATACGGGGAGACAGGAGCAGGCTAACCACCACCGTGAGGACACAATTAGCCAAATCCGGACCGTGGGGCCTTCTAAGGGGCAAACGGTCGTTCTTCCACCAAAAAAATCCAGGGGAAAAAGAGAGTGACAAAAAGAAAAGACACGCGGTAGACGATGGATAAAAGGAAATGGACAGACGGATCGACAGATAAACTGAGAACCAACACCTGGAAGGAGGGTCACCGAAGCTGTCAACTCTGGTTACCTCGAAGGAGAGGGACCTGGGGTGATTTCTGCTTTTCTCCCTTACGTTCTCCTGTGCTGTTTGCTTCGTTTTTCTCTTAACAATGAATGCATATTATTTCCCCCCAACTTTTTATTTAGAAAAATATGAATGTACAGAAAAGTGGGAAGGGTAGTATAATGAGCACTCGTACATCCGTCATGTGGACGCATCACCCGCTGAGCGTGGGCACGTCTGCTTTTGTTCTCTATACGCACAGGGTTTTCTCAACCATCGGAAAGTAAGCTGCAACTATTGTGACATTTTACCGCTATACACTTTAGCACGTACCGCCTACATAAAAGGACTTTCTTCTACATAATCACGGCACCACTGCCACACCTAAGAAATTTACTGTTAGATAATCGTTTTTTCTAACAATACGTCCACATTCAAACTCGCCAGTTGTACCTAAGATGGTTTTTCTTTCCTAACTCAGGACTGAAGCACAGATCATGCATTCTACTTTCTTTTAATACCCCCCAGACATCCCTAACCTAGAGCAGACAGTATCCCGCCCTTAACACTGACTTTTTTTTGATAAGCACCATTTTTTGAAGAGTCCAGGTGTCTTGAGGAACAGCCCAGAAACTGGATTTTTCTAATTGTTTCCTCCTGGTAAAATTCAGGTGGAGAATTCTGGCAGAGACATCAGGGTGGGGGGTACCTCCCAGCACGTGACACCAGGGGACACCGAGGGCGGTCTGTCCTGCACTAGTGACACTATGCGCTGTCACTGGAGCAGGCGGCCCCCATCATCTCTCTCTGTCGTGAAGGTACCTTTCTCCTTTGTGATTAACGAGTAAGCTAGGAATGAAACTTGGAGACTGTTTCCCAGAACCTTTGGCCCAGTGGTTTTAGCAGCCTCTGATGCTGCCTGTCTGTGTCCCAATGGCTACAGAATGGTGGCTTTCCAAGTCTCTCATTCCTTCCATTGTATAACTGGCATTCTTCTGTGAAGAACAGTTCCCCCCACTCACTTTAATGTGTCACTGAGGATTTATATGTATTTAAGGTGTTTTTAAAAAAAATCCCACGCAAAGTTCTGCAAGAAGCACATTAAAACAATTGGTGCTTATCCTCCAGGGACGGAGGCAGAACCCGAGGCAGATGCTGTCCCCCATCATCCACCTCACCCAGAAGGACCACTGCAGGCAGGTCGGGCTTTGTCTGCCTTTGCCCTGACTGAATCACACCCGGGACCCGCTGGTCTCCTTTGCCCGGTGGCTAGAGGCTTCATTTTTAAGTGTTAAGTGGAAGTTTCATGCACTAAAAGTGTGTCAACCACCCAGAAGCGCTTTCAGACAGCTCCCACGGGCCCTAAGAGCGGAAGGCTGACGTTCCAGAGCCGATGCTTTAGGAACACGATGTAGAATGCTCTCTCAGGGAGCGGGAACCGCGTTCTCCGCTAACCACCGTCACTGTCTTCAGAGAAACTGACGGGTTCTTAAATCTGCTCAGCTCTTGTTAAGAAATGATTTATTTTATTTAAGTGCTCTGCAGTGGGAGATGCATGAAGACAATGGGCTGTCTGAGCTTTACAGACAAGTTTGGTAAAAAATTTAATGCTCATCAGTTTAGTAAATTCAACTGAGAAACACCAAGAAAATGCTAAAACAGTGTATGATGTTCATGAGACTCGCTCTGAGTACAAACACGCTGACGGGGTAAGCCAGGGAGAATGGCAGCTGCCTCCCACTGGGACTGCTCAAGGTTCTCTTCCCCACTTGGGCGACTGAGCTCAGGACCCCTGGCTGAGACACCTGCCCGTCTCCGTGACTCCTCGTGTGGGGCGGGGAGCCTCACCACAGCCAAGCAGCCGCAGCTCGGACTCAGCCCAGCTGCTTCCGTAAGTGCCCCTGCCCAGTCCCGGCCGAGGCGGCTACGCTGAGGACGGCAGAGGAACCGTCTTCCTGGTGCAGGAACAGAGAGAACCAAGCTCCAGCATCACGTCAGCACTGTCCAACCTGGGCAGGTCAGCTCAGCTCTCTGGGCCTCAGCGTGTCCACCTATAAGATAGCTGTAACTTACTCATCTCGCCAAGTTGCTGTGAAGATCAAAGGAGACAGCATGTGTGAAAAGTGTCTTGAGAATTACAAATCCGAGCGTTCCGATCCCTCATGAACCGGTACAGAAGCAGCGAGGCAGGGATTTAGAAGCCTCTCCCCTACCACAGCCCACTCGCCCTGCAGGCCGAGGACCACGGAGAGGCCGGGGAGCGCTCCGTCATCGCAGACACTGCAGCCACGGCACCAGATCCACAGGAAACCGCAGCCTGTAGAAGACGCGGCAAAGCCTTCGGTTCTCTGCCCACTCTCAGACCTTAGATCCAACCCAACCACATCCCTTTAACCTAATTAGGACGAAAGAACCGCTAAAGTCAGTTCTGAAAGACACTCCACAGTGAGGCCTTGAGGGCCGTGGGCCTGACAATTGGCCGCCTCCATGAGACCAAGGGGTACAGATGGAAGGCAGCTTGCTCAGGTGCCAGCCTGTCAGTTGGATTAAAATGACTCATTTATTTACCCAAGAACCTCACAAAGTGCTTTTACTAACAGGGAGAGGGGGCCTGCGGCTCTCTGAGCAAGGGACGCAGCAAATGCGCCTCTGCCGCCTTCCCGGCCTGCCAGAAGTCATTACTGCCGTGTGTGGGCGGCCATCAGCGGGGCACAGGCCCCCGCCGGCCGGGTGACAGATTGGGTTGCGTGATCAGAGGAGGGAGGAGAGAGGGCAGAAGCTGTCAGAGGCGCGAGATCTTGGCTGGAGCCGCCAAAAACTGGCAACATGAGTTAGCGTAACCGGGTAAACAGCCAACAATCTCCAAATGATCTTGCCATGAACACGGATGAAATAAAAGTGGAAAAAGATAAACTTCGCCTAAAAACGCATACCCCTGGGAACACCAAGAAAGCTGACTCTTTCGGGTGGCGAGCTGCGTTTCTGTGACCCTCACAGCCTCACTCCTTTGTCTCCCAGCCTCCTGGCATGCTGCAAAGTCCCCGGGAGGAGAGGAAATTAAGAACCGCACAGACATAGCAGCGTGTTTCAAGCAACAAAAAAAAAAAAAGAGAGAGG